CCGCATTTACGGCAATTCATGTAGGCCCACTTGTGTTAAGGGGAGCCTATCATTTCATCCAGTCGACTGATTTCCCAACGCTATCATTCAAGAATCCAATTTGCCCAACTTTCATCCCCACGCAGCTTAGCCCCCACATCCAGTGAACAAGCGTTGCATTTGCATTTTCTGGAGAAGAGCCAACGAGTAGTCAGACAATGATCCCCTCGCTAGAGAACTGCCTCGAAATACAACTAATGGCCGGTTTGACATGCCAGTACTAGGAATTTTTTGAATTACTGCTTTCGTCACTGACAATGTGTTTGTTGCTGCTGCTGTTGTTGTTGTTACTGTTGATATGGGAAGGAAAATCTCAAGTGCAAAACAGCAATGTTAGTGAGTTAAACTAGCTGTATTATGCTTCTCAAGCAAACAGGGAAGAAGCCATTGGCACCTTTCTCTGTGTAATCGCTCTTGGCAAAATGCCATTAGTGAATCTACTTTCTAATATTCCCGCGTTTAAAAAAATTAAAATAGAAAAAGTCTCAAGTTTCTAACTTATAAAACTTCAAAAACACTCAATTAAAGAAGAAACCTTATCAGGATGCACTAAGACTGCCTGCCTTTTAAAATACCGCTTAATATCATCGTCGGTGCAATCGGCTCTCAATCCCAAGATAACGTATGCATCACGACCACGACATTTCAGTATTCGTTCCATTGCTTCTTCGCCTTAACAATTCCAAAATACCCGAAAAGCATAAAAGGGACATAAAATGGGCAAAGTGCTGAAACGTTTACAGTAATTTCAAATGTAAATTATTTTCGGAACTGGCAACATTCCTGAGAAGATCAAGGCCAAGTGCTACAAACCGTCAATGGCTATCCACTGAACAAGACATTCTTCAGCGGTCAGATGAAGTTCATTCAAAGCCAAAACTACCTCCATGCTCAATATGAGAAGCAAGGGCACAAAGTAACTCAAGGGGTAGCAAATGTCTGCAGCAATCATGTAAATGGCATGGTTGAGGACTAACTCTCCTTCGAGAAATACTTAGAGGCTGACGATTTTGACTTCCTGGCATGCGCCAGTACCAGTATAACACCAAAACAAGGTAAACGAATCGCAGATAGACTGGCTGTTCCGTTAGTGCGGCCGAACCATTTTTAGCAGTTCTCACTGCTCGCCACCAGCAAATTTATTTCATATGGGTAGAAGTAATAATTAAAAAAAAAAACTAAGAGAGCAAAAAAAGAAAGACTGAACCAGTGCCGATTCATTGAAGATTTTGTCGAACTCGACAATTCTAAGTACTGGCATATTTTCCGTGTGTACATTGTCATATCACACCAGGACCTTTTAAAAGATTGAAACTTCGTGCTTTCAAAAAATTCTAGTACTACTTTTATCTCAAAAAAGTACCTGTGGCGGGTAACTGGATATTTTCAACTAGGCCCCATGCAGTAGGCTCTTTACCGCTTGTCCATATCCTTTTTGCGTTAAAAACACGGATATTTACCCAAAATGATCTGTAAAATTATTTTACACTTGCATTCAGGCTTAAATATGAAAAGCTAAAATAAACAAAACGTAAAAAACCTGGGACAGTTTAGAAGAAAAAAATTAATGCTTAGTCATCATGGTCAAAGAGAATCAATGAGGCAGCGACACACAATAAACATCAAGGACAGCTTGGAGGGGTATTGGAGCTCAACTCATGAAGGACAACCCGGAACAGGTTATGCTTTGCCAAGTGCTCCTGTCGGAACAGCTGCCGAGCTGAAAACCCTTCCCATGAATAAAACTAACGCCAGGATCGCTAGTAAGCTGAAAACCAGATAAATGATCATTGGATAAAACAACTGGAAATTTTGATAGCTACATGGCTAAGCTGTAATTCTTAGGAACAAACCAAGAATTATATCTGAGCTAAGTATTCCAAGTATATTTTCCTGGCTCCTTACACAATTCATACCTTCTCACACAGTCAGATGTCAGAAAATCTTACAAATTCACCTTTAATACCATATTCCCACCTACGTATGCAGTTGTAATCACGGCAAAAACAC